TAGTAATGTTTCAGAAACAACCGTTATTAATAATAGGTACTATTTTCCTTAATAAGGTAGAAATAAAATATAAACTATTTCCACGATTTACAAAGGCCTACAAAAAAATTATAGGTATTTTCGGCTATCCTATAAAATTTATATTTTCTGACTCAATTTCAAAAGGTTGAAGGAATTCCAAAACACCTTTTATGGCATAATAATTATTTTCAATTCTACATACTATCTTTAGCTGCTTTTAAAAACGTTCTAAGAAAGTCCAATCAGACCAATTTATTCCCTAAACTATTCCACACTTTTAAAATTTAATTACCTAACAATATTAAAAACTATTTAAAATAACTTGTTTAGCAGACTGTACAATAGCTATCTTAGTCACACGTAGCGCGTTCTCTGTCTGGGCGTCGAACACCTCCAGAAATTTGATGAACTGTAATGGTAGGTCTTGATGGCGTCAATGATATTGATAAGAGAAACATTGCTATCCAACGACGTCTTGCCAAAAACAGACCCTTGATTGATATAGATGATCAAACAAGAGCATGTGCGGCTTGTAACAGGTCGATTGTAAGAGAGTTGCGTGTTCTTGAGCAAGATCCAACCTGTATGCGATTAAACGTTTTGACACAAACAGCTAACCAAACGTGTATGATATGCAATTCGCCCGATGCTCGTCGCTTAACACTTGACGCAAGAGTTGATATATTCGTGAAAGTTGATATATATATTCCCCCAAATACAAAATGTTGTAATTTACATGTTGACGACACTGGGCGACTTTTCCAAAGGCTATTGATAGGCTTACGCTCCGTACTTCGTCCTTGTATCATTCCAGGTAAGGAAATGCAAAGCTTTTTGTCAAAACTGCGTCAATTGGCTAAAGCTGGCTTGACTATCATCAATGAGAATGACATTGCCGATGTGGACTTTCAATGCATTTCACCGGTGACCAAAGAACAGTTCCATGAATTGTATACGTTTTGCGACCCTGTGTCCATCAACGGCGGTTTCCGTATATGTTAAAAAAAAAGGATCTCATAGCGTTTCTCTGCAAGTTGAGGCAGGGACTATCAGACGAATTCATAAAAGCTATATTCCATTATGGTAGCCGACATCATGTTAGTACAATTATTGCTACTGTCAGAAAATCTTTAATTCAACGATTTGTTCCCAACAATATTGGGTTCCAGGCTATTAGCCGCCAGAATTTCATGGCTCAACATGTTCCCGAGTTCGCAAACACCTTGCACAATGATAATTCCGATATTCCTAAAGTCATTGTCTATATCGATGGTACTTATGCCTACGTTCCAAAGAGTAGCAACTTTCGCGTTTTAAGACAGACTTTTTCAATTCATAAAGGACGACACCTTGTGAAACCAGCTCTACTTGTTCCTCCTGATGGTTATATATTGGCCATTCAGGGTCCCTATTTTGCGGACTCCAGAAATAAAGACGCGGCTATGTTGCGCAATGAGTTGAACAATGACGCCGACATTATGCGCAACTGGTTTCAGGAGGGGGATATCCTAATCGTTGATAGGGGATACAGAGATGCAGGTCCGTTGCTAGAGGCTCTGGGTATTACCCAATACATACCCCATTTTGTTGAACGTGGCGAGCAACAGCTCTCCACTGAGAATGCTAATGCTTCACGGCTTGTTACGAAGACCCGATGGATTGTGGACGCCAGAAATGGCCACATCAAATCTATTTTTAAGTTATTCGGACAGCTTATTCATACTTCTCATATTGAATACCTGGGTGAATTCTATCGAATAACGGGAGCTATTATCAACAAATACCACCCATTAATTGCTATGGAAGGCTACAACGCAGACATGGTACGTCAAATGCTGGTCAAGGCGAATGAAGTCAATGTTGTAATGGCTCGTGTGGATGAATTCAGATTGAGAAACCTAAATGCGATGTGGATACATATTGATGCGGCTAACCTGGACGACTTTCCTCGTTTGGAGTTAGACTATCTGCGAGATATTACGGTTGGAATATATCAAATCAATCTTGCACCTTTATATATACAGGACAAGTTGCGGCGGGATGCCATAGAAGAGCTCCACATAGATCAGGTAAATGCAGAACCAGGATTTCTCCGAGCAAGAGTGTACTCACGATTCCGAAACGCCGCCACGTACCAGATATGGATTGCTTATACGACTATTAACGAACTCGAAGAAAACGATCAGGAAAAAGATGTAATTATTAGACATTATTGCACTTGCAAATCGGGTGCTAGAACGCTGGGCTGTTGCAGTCATATTGCATCCATATTATGGTGCTTGGGATATACAAGACATGAACCTGAAATTCGGTACCCTCCGTCTAACCTTCTTCATAGCGTTTCTGACGCTGCTAACCGGCTAGCGCAATAGCCGCCCCATACAGGTATCCAATGGGTTAAATTGTAATAAGGCTTTCCTTATTAAATTATTTTATTAATTGTTTGATTTAATTGTTGTTTATCTCCACTGCGAACCGTAGTATACGAGTAATCAATGTAATAATTTGGTTTTTTGATCGTTACTTCGGGTATCTTCAAGTAACGATACTTGAGTGCCGAATTACTTTTTCAACATCACTATTAAAAAAGACCTTTAAAATTGTTCAAAATAAGATAGAAAACAGAAACAAACATCCAATGAGTAAAATACGAAAACGATCGTTTAGCGAATGAGACATTCATTGGTCAGTCTTTCCGAAACTATTGGTTATTGGACTTTGGCGCAATGGTAACTTTTAATCAGTAAGGCTTCCTCAATACAATATCAAAAATTCAGGCAATTCCTACATAGATCACTTTTCCATAAGGTTTGAGCGGGGTCCTTTTCAACCTTTATAAAACTCTTGCGACGATGTAGAAATTTCTACAACTTCGGCGCCTTGAAGGCAGCGTCACTTGGTTGTGCGATCTGACCGCTACCTCTCGGATTTGCACATTAAAATTAAGTAAATTACCAATTTTCATTCGCGTATCGGGGACAACACTAATCATTTGTAGTGCACATGTCGTACGCGTTTTATTTGTACATCGGTCTCCTTTTGACAGAGTAGGTGAGCTGTGTTCAGGCCGTTAGTGTTTAAAGCCTTGGTTTCTTTGAACACTCCGTCGCGGTGAGCGGACAGTCCGTCGACCGCTGAGGACAGCAATTTTCGCCCGAGGTAGTTTGTTAAAAAATATAGAAAATGATACTTTCTCTAGGTCTGTACGTGCTGTTTATGTATTATGAATGTAAACGAAAGGTACTAAAATGAATGCAAATAAATTGTTTGCGTTATTATTATTGTTGGAAGAGGAAGAACAAGAGGAACTGGCAATTGCAACCGTCAAAGTTTCCAATAAGCCAGTGGATGAGTTGTTTTTGTGTCGCGATACAGAAGGTGCCTTTAATATCACTGTGCAGCGGAGGCTTTTTGGAAATGAAACCAAATTTAGGGAGTATGTTAGACTTTCTACAGATTTTTTTGAATTCGTGTTGTTTTATAGAGGACATAATTTCCAAGAAACCTAAAAATAAAGTCATGATGTCATCTGTATGTGTGAATTTGTCACTCATTGTTTTAAAATTAATAACAATATAGTCTCCGCACACGCCGACGATTCCGCTGATATCAAACTCAACAGATATCAACCAACTTTTCGCAACAAATCAGCGGCATGACGCCGTCCTGCTCAGCTAAGCGGATTCAAGAAAACCATTCCCATTTAAATACGCTGGTTGGATAAAATCGTCAAAATGCGACGGTTGACGGACTGTCCGCTCACCGCGACGAAGTGTTCAAAGAAACCAAGGCTTAAGCCGGTTGGCGTAGCCCCGTATGAACTAAAATTTTCTGGTGGCGGCGAAGCCGCCACCCTACGAGAAGTCGTTTCGTCATCTTCTTGTTGTGACGGCATTATTATTATTTGTTTATGTATGTGCTTCTAAGGTTTATAAAATACTGCTGCTAGTCACAGCGTAAATGAAAACAAACAAGACGCATTCACACAAACACCTCCCACTACAGCAATTACAAATGATTAGTGTTGTCTCCGATACGCGTGTCCAATTTTCAACCATTAGAAAACTCTAGTAGTGCATGTGCTGGTTCTACATAGTTCAAAGCGTGCCGCCGCCGAACGCAGCGCTACCTATCTTTGTAAGTGGATGCTGAAAACTCTTGTAGAATTTGACCGCCAGCTCCCCGACTAATAGGACTGATTGGGACACAGATATCTGTACCCCGTCGCCGAGGACAAAGTACTAGATTATCTACCAACTGTACTAGACGGCAACATTGATTACAGAGGCTGCGGATTCGCATCGTCAGCCCACAGCGAATATTGGCTAGGACGCGGATCCGCGTTGTTAGCAATAAACCTGTTTCGATAGGTTGTGGAAAACGACAATTAAGTTTTAAAATGAACGTGTTAAAGGAACGGTGGTACAAGAATAACTTATTTATGATGTAGGTATACAATTTTGGGGGAGTCATAACATTTATGAGTTGCAGTGTTTTGATAATTCTCCCTTGTACAATAACTCCTATTTTAAGAAGACCACATGCCTATTTTTAAAAGAAATTGTTTAAAACTTAATGAGTTATTGAAAAAAATCGATTATAATTTATAACTTCAAAAGACTATAACCTTTTGTATAGGTAAGTTGTAGGTAGTATAATTTATGACTTACATTTTTATTACACCCTGTATTACATTATATATTTCATTACATGTTTTTTCTACATCACTAATTAAAATACTACGCCATAAAATCCAATTAAAAAGAAGAAAAAAAAAAACAACACGTTAATTACAAATTTCCAATGCCTATATAGTATCATTTAAAAAATCAACAACTGAAACAAGTTTAACATTGTTTTTATCTATCAGGTCAAGTTACTTATTTTAATGATTTAAAATAGTGAAGGAAGTGTGATTTATGCATATAATATTGATGTTTTCTAATATTTACAAAACTTGTTAAGTAGTTTGTTTAAATATGAGTCTAGAAAATTTACTGATTACTGACAGACAAAGTATTAGAAAATCCTGGGGTAAAACGGACTTAGACGTAATTGAAGATATTGTAATTATCAAAAAGTGGCTGGAAACTCAAAAGCATCTTCCTGAAACACCATGTAAGTGAAATATTAAATTTTTTTAACTTAGTCTTATGGCTGTGGAAGTAACTAGTTTTGATTTTTCTTTATCAATATGTGTGCAATGAAGACCTTGTTACTGTTTCCTAGTGTCACTTTAGGAATAGCACTGTTAATTAGAACCAAACAGTGATTGTTCCGGTGGGGAAACTAGCTGTGCATCGAAATTAATTTTTAAATATTTATGGTAATTAAAAAATCGTGGTCGACAGTGGGATTCGAACCCCCGACCCTTATATTCGGAAGTCCACACTCTAACCATTGAGCCAACCACCCACTTATATAACAGTTTGAATAATACAAATAAAAGCCACATTTCGAGTAAAAATAACTTCAAATGGATTTATCTACAAATAATAATGAGACCAAAAACTTCTGCATCATAATTAAGTAAAATAAACTTTATTATTTTTGAAATCATCGGAAACCAAGTATTTTATCCAATTGTATGCATGCATATGGTACATTCAAGGGAATTATAATATTGAAAACTAGAATGGCTTTTGAATTAATACGAACGACTATTCCTAGTCTCTAATGTGCTATTCAATAGATATAGAGTTTTAAATGTAGATATACTAGCATCTAGTATAAACATACTTTCCAATGCAAAAAAAAAATCTTCAAACAAATTACCGAAGGTAATGCCACAGAGTACATACAGAGAATGAACTCGATGTCGGTCCCTTTGATATTTGTAAGAAATCACTTGAAACCGGTAAACACGCCTTCTCGAGGAGAAATCAGGATCGTATTTAAAAAGTATAGTTACCATTGATGAGATCCGTACTTAAAATAATTGAGATGAATAAAATAAGTAAATTGTTTTTTTTATTAAAATACCGCTCTTAATTACTATAAAAAAAGAAAAATAAAATAAAAATACGAAGACCAAAAAATGATTTTCAAGCATTTTTCCAAACTAATAATTTATCTTTATTACCAATTTTTTTTTAATTTCTATTAATGTATTTTAATGTATATATTCTTAATAAAAAATAGGTAGAATTAATACCGTAAATTAATGGAAAACTTGTATAGGAGTGTTGACAGAAAAATAAAACAAATATACGAAGATTAAAAATTATTTTTTTCTATGTTCGTGCAAGACAACAAAACTTTATTAAACTATATTTAGTAAAAAAAACTACAGCGTTTTGTGACCAACATAAACATTCCAATCGACGGCATGTTTAGTCCATTTTCTGTTAAATTGTATTACGCACACACGCGCACGTTCACGCGAATATCGCTATAATAAAGCAAAAATGGAGTTTGTGTGAACAAATCTTAATAGATAAAAAAACAAGCATAATTAAAAAATTAATGTATTATATATAAATATATATAATACAAATCCAATATTTAAAAAAATGTAATGTATAAACTGTATTATGTATGAAGTAGCTGGATGGCTGTTACATATTCCAGGATTTAACACTGCTCCTCATTTTGTGAAGAATTTTATCTGTGAAACAGAAAAGACAGTATAAGTACAATATCATTAAAATAAATGTATTATTCAAAAATTACAGGTCCTAGGAATACTTTCCTTTTTGAAGTCCAGCATCTTCTGCGATACAGCTTTGCCACCCCAAACGTCATGAAACAGAAAATAAATAGTATAAGTATAAAATAAATGAGTCGAGTACTAACTTTCCTTCTCGAAAAGAAGTCCAACATATATTATTAGGCTGCTTCGTAGTCCAGGAAGGTCACAACTGTTTTGCACAGAAAAAAAATCCTAAAACGAACACCATACTATTGCCCACTTAGAAACTGCGTTATGTAGTAGTCCGTTCTTTTGTATTTGCATTGTAGCCAGATATATAATCTTGGAATTAGTGTCTTTGTCCATTATGCCATTGAGTTATCCTTTTCTACACTTTTGTATATATTTCCTCACTTCTTTTTTTTTCCTCGAGTGAAGCCTCACCATTTCTTTCACCTTTAATTTAATTGGTTTAATTCCCGCTATTACGTTAGCCGCCTCTCTGTATATTGTTCGATAGACACAAGATACTTCGATCAACATTTTTCTCTGTAAGCTCTGGATAATTTTACTGTAAGTTTTGGTCTCAGTTCTCCTGTGCCATATCGGTGCTCCGTACAGAAGAATGTAGTATGCGACCTAGCTTAGTATTTCCCTCTTAGCTTAAGATGGGCCACTTATATTTATAATCAGCTTTGCCAAAGCTGCATCGGATTTATCTGCTTTTTCCACAGTCTTCCTAAGATGTTCGTTGTATATCATCGATGTAAATTCCAAGAAATTTTGCATTTCTAAATTTCTATTAGGTGTTACTGTGTTCCTTACGTTAAGAGCATTCTATCGACATACAAATACTAAAATCGAAATAACTTTTTTATGAAGCTATAAATTTATTTGCGATTTTCACTAATATACGAGAAAAAAAATCTATTTTTGTGGCTGCATTGTATATATTTTTTAAATCAAATTATATTTTTTTTCTCGTAGTTTTATTGATTTTTATATACAAATTTATACTAGCCACAATTCGGTATAATATTTTAAGATATTTAGCAAAAGAAAAAAATTAAAATTAACAGAGGTTAACTTTTAAAGTCGATTTTAAATAAATGCATAATATTGGTCCGGTCAGTGCTGCCCTCCCTGCTTTCGCTTCGGACACACCAAAATCTATTGCACTTGCATCCGTCGCTGCATTAGAATCTCATAGACGGCGAAAGCTGCGTGTACAGAGTTACTGAAGTGAATGTTTAGTTGAATGCGAATTTTTGATGCTATTAGTTCTTAGTTTTTAAATCGTGCTGTGCTGTAGACAATTATTTGGTTCTTTTCCTAAAAAGTTTTATAGACAATTATAATGGCGAATTTAAAAAAGACAATTACTGGCTACTCTGGAAAACGTTTGCAATTAAATGCAAGGCGGAAGAGTAAAAAAAAAGTTGGGCGAATAAACGGTAAGTAAATTTTACACAATATTTTTAAATATTAAAAACCTTTTAAATTGGTTTAGTAGTCAATTGAATAAGCATATTTACATGTTATTTTTACGAATACTAGTAATGTGAGTAATATAGGCAATGCACTATTAGAAATTAACAATAGCTTGACTTTGGCCACTGTTTCTACAGGAACGGGTTTTTGCTACAGTGGAGGAAATATTTTTTGTTTTAAATGTTCCAATAATGGCTCCCTTAACATACCAACGTCATAAAAAAGTGACTGAAGCTATAGAGACCATTCCATGGAAGGTTATGTTCGAAGCTGGTAAGGAAGAAGCTCGGTTGGAAAGGGAAATGGGACAAGCGGATGAAAATGATATTCCTCTAATAACAGTTATAGCCGATGGATCGTGGAGTAAAAGATCGTACTCTGTAAACTATAAAGCTTCGTCTGGCGTGGTAAGTTATTTATTTTAGTTTGCATATTATATATATTTATTTTATCATTATTTTTAGGCTTGCATAATTGGGGCTAGAACAAAAAAAATATTATTTCTCGGTGTTAGGAATAAGTATTGCAGTTTTTGCGATCGAGCTACTGCTAAATCACTTGAAATTCCTGACCATAACTGCTTTAAGAACTGGAAAGGATCATTTATTGCAAAAGAGGCCGATATTATAGTAGACGGATTTAAGAGGAGTTTTGAAATGCATGGTTTAATATATTCCAAACGTATTAGAGATGGGGACAGCAGTGTTCACAGAAAACTTTTAGAGACCCGTCCTTATGGAAATATTCTTATAGAAAAAGTGGAATGTAGAAATCATTTAATGAGAAATTTTTCTAAAAAAATAAGAGATTTGTAGTAAGTTTTTTTTTTAATTTGATTGTTATGTGGCTAGTGAAAACCAGTTTTATTATATCACTTGTTATTTCTCTCCCAAAATTAAAAGTAGCGTGTTGACAGTTGTCTATAGTACGACAGTCCTACTATTAATTTACTGTATCTATTTTATTTTTAAAAAATATCTAATATAATTTATTTTAAACTTATAAAATTTATCTTTTTAATTTATAGCTAAAAAACGTAGTGACTCAAAAAATTGTCCAGTACGTCCAGGACTTCGAAAAATTGTCGAGAATAATTCGCAAAGATTGCGAACCTGTATATTTTCAGCCACACGTTATAGACTAAAAGAAAATATTTCTACACAGGAGAAAATAAAAAATTTGTTATTTTGGACTTAAGAAATGTTCCATCTCATGTGTGGTGAACACAAATTGTGCAAACAATTAAATTATTTTATATGTTCGGGAAATGATAAAAACTACATTTCTTCAATGAAAGAATGTGGTCTTCTTTAAGATATTGAGATTGCTATGCAACGGTTAATTACTAATACTAGTAGTCTCATTACAAATATGGATACTAACGTGACTGAACAATATAATTCGATTGTTTAAAATTTGTCGGTGGCAAGAGAATTAATTTTTCAATGAGGGGATCATATAAAACACGCTGTAAAGCGGCAACGATATCCTTTGTTAGCCTTTGATAAAAATCTTCCGGCATAAACAAAAAAATTAAAAAAAATAGCAAAGAAAAAAAAAAATGTTATCAAAATTCCGTAGACAAAACCAAAAAGAAGTTGGAAAAATAAAACAAATTTGAAAAAGCTGCTCCTCCAGATACTGATTATGGTCCAGATGCTGTTTCAACACCGGACCTTCCAGAGGACGTTTATGAATACAAGAAAATTGAATTTCTAGCTTCTTTAAAAAATAAATCAAAAGATTTAAAAGAATTGGAAATAAAAACAAGAGGTCAGTCAACAAATCAATCATGGCTGCAGGAAAGAATCAATAGGCTGGCAGCCTAACATTTTGGGGAAATATGCTCACCATGTACAAATAAAGAAATAATCTATGTCACTCTACTTTTCTAGGTAATAGTAATATCAAATACGGTTTAGATCATGAGTCGCTTGCAATTACACAATTTGAATCAGAATTTAATGTAAAGGTAAGTTTTCCCTTTGTATCCTAG